TCCAAGATCGTGCAGCCGAGCTCCTTATGTGCACGCGCGCATGCGTGTACATACACGCGGGCGTGTACCTGCGGCCTGCGTACAATAGGTGCACGTGAGTGTATCTGCCGTGCACAGATGCACATGACCGCATGCGTGCATGTGTATGTGCGAGCATACGTGTGTACGTGCGCGCACGTGTGTATGTGCGGGTACGCGTGTATGTGCACGCACGCGTGTACGTGGTTAGGGTAGGGGTTAGGGTTAGGGTAGGGGTTAGGGTGAGGGTATATATATATATACCCTAACCCTATATATATATATACCCTAACCATATATATATATATATATATATATTAGGGTTAGAGTATATATATACCCTAACCCTATATCCAATGCCCCACGCGTACGTTCGCGGTCGGCGGTGACCGCTCAATCGAGTCGCGCCAACTCGCAGTCGTCAGTGTAAACGGTTCATAGAACGGTTGATAGAGATCACGGTGCGAGGTGCAGAGATGCAGGGTGTCAGTGGTGGTCACTAGTATAAGGTTACAGACGGCTGGTCAGCACTCACTGACTCAGCAGTAGCGGACGTGGCGGCAGCCTAGCTTACGATATGATCCCGTCGTCTGTCACCCCCCCCCCGTCAACGGAGTTAACATCACGCAAGATTCATGCAAACATTCATGTCTCAGGTGGCATTGATTGAAGTACGGGGGGGGGGGCACGATTGTTTCAGCGTGGTACTAATCACTACTAAAATGTAGAGGGTTGTCATTGCTGGACTATGAGAGATAAAGTGACAGCAAACTCCTTTCGGGGAATGACGAAAAAGCTACAATCGGGAATGACACACGAGTGTGCCGGCAGGAAAATATACGTGTGAATTTCATTATTGATTTTCATGGATTTACCGTTCTATAATCCTACGGGTCGTTGGACCTACGGGTCTACGTAGGCACTGCCCGCAGGGCACACCCGCACACACGCACGCACGCACGCATGCAGGCACGCACGCACGCGCACACATGCACGCGCGCAGGCACACACGCAAGCACGCCCGCAGGCACACCGGCACGCACACACGCACGCGCGCAGGCACACACGCAAGCACGCGCACAGGCACACACGTATATACGCGCGGGCAGCGGCACGCGCTTGATTGAATGCAATACAGTACAGTACACACATGCATGCTTAAATGGTAAACACTTGACAGTCACACCGTACCATGAATTCTACCGCGCCGTGGAACCGGCTGCCGCTAGCGGCAGAGGCCTAGGCATCGCAGCGCAGCAACGCCGAGCGAGAAGGCGCGGGACCGACCTAGACAATCGATTTCCAGGGCAACTTTTTCTTTTGGGGTCGCCCCCAATATCATGTTTTCGGGGCTCTTTTTGGCATTTCGGAGGCGAAATCGCCTGCCGCCCCCGTGTATTTTTTCCCCTGCGTATTATAGACTGACGGACCAAAAAAATTATTTTTTTCCGATCTCAGTGAAATTCGTAGTTTGATACAAACTGGTCGTAGTGGTGCAAAGGAATAGATATTCGTATAAAATTCGTATAAATCGTAGTGGTTGGCATCTCTGCCCATCCCATCCATCCATCCATTTATCCACCCCAACCCACCGATCCATCCATCCATTCATCCATCCATCCATCCATCCATCCATCCATCCATCCACCCCAACCCACCGATCCATCCATCCATTCATCCATCCATTCACCCCAACCCACCGATCCATCCATCCATCCATCCATAACACATGTCTGCATTACCTCCTCCCTCCATCTACCCCCCTCCCCGCGTGTAGAAATGACGACATGATTCGCGTTTTATCAGCAGCAGGGAGTGTCTCGCGCTCGTGGCGGCTCACCCAGCCCGTGGCGAGCATGTTGTTGATGTACTCCAGGAAGCCGTCGTCGACGACGTCCTGCTCCGTGAGAATGAAGGTGGCGCTGCGTGCCTGCAGCCCCGTGAGGCGGTACAGTCGGCGAAGGTCGTCGAGGAGGTTTGACACGTTGTACGACCTGCGGGAAGGTGAGATGTCTATGATGTGTAAGCAAACCTACAAGCCAGACGCAGTCTGTGGGGTTTGTACGGTTAGGGTTAGGGTTAGGATATAGGTTAGGGTTAGCTAACCCTAACCCTCACATCAGAGCAGCTTATAAGCCAGTAACTTACGGTGACATGGAAATTTAGAATACCGACAAATCAGGATACATAGAAGGATGAGTACTACAATCAGGTAATTTCAGGGAAAATGACACTATAACCATGCATAGTGAACATGCAGTATACCTCGTCAGTGTTATCCTGAATGTCTGGTATCCAGTGATGAATGATGCAAGCTTTGTGAGCGACTGCTTGCCTGAACCTCCCACCCCTACCAACAGGGCATGACCCTGAGGCATCCGCAGCATCCTGCATATCTAAAACATAGTCGATGCTCCACTGGTATGCACTACTGATCGACCTTCCGGTAGCATATATAACCAGATGCCAACCAGCATATATACGTCATACCATATCTATAGTCAACAGCACCTCATAATGAAGCAACATCTGCTGAGAAAACTCTTGGAACAAACAATGGTGCTGCCCAGTTGTAGCAAAAGAAGTCCCTAGTTATAATGACTATGATATTCCATCCATGCAGGTTCAATTCCCTAATTTTCGCACAGCGTTTGTTCAAAGTGCAGTTTAGAAATCTTCATTTTCACTTCACAAGCGTAAATGTCACGTGTAACCGTGTTCTCTATCGACATGCTAATTTAAGCCACAATTTTAGGAGTTAATTCACTAGTTACCTGCCCTAGTTATTTATAATTCATTAAACACTTGCTAATCAATTATAAAAAGGGTACAACCACCGCATTATATTTAAGTCGTTCTTCTTCTTCTTCTTCTCGGGTCACTACACTAAACTCGACCTAGTCACTGCAGCACACACGTACAGGACCTGGCATGGTGGGGGAAACCTTAAGGTCTCCAGGTCTACAGGGCTCTGGTAACGTTTGAGTGGTGGGGTAAAGGTAGGGCTTGCACTGTGCAGTTGCATGACTCTGAGGATGTCATGGCAAAACACGTATGCATATGATGTGGATGACACCATTCCTAAATAACAACTAGCCAGAAATACTTGGAGGAAGGGTAGTGAGCGAATACTTAAATAACAGGTAGCCAGCATGATGTGAGGAATACGCGTGGAGACGTGTCTGTGAGGCACATACTCTTATAATGTGAACGACAGCATCCCTGAAGAACACCAAGTCCATGCCGGCGCCTCTCACACTCTCGTTGTATTGCGCCAGCAGCAGTGCCAGCCTGCCTTCCAGCACCGCCATGTCCGTAACCGGCTCGTACACCGTGTCAGGGCCATCGGTGCCCTCTTGTTCCTCTGTCGTAACTTCTGGTGCCTCTCTGTCGAAGGTACGTGACGTACGTCAGTGAAACAAGTTTTGAATAATTTGTGTTGTACTACATAGTAGAGATATGGGTAAGCTATTGGTATCGCTGTGCCTAAAATAATACAGTTAAGTCACAAACCTCACCTCTCATCTATTTCATACAAGTCTGAGACTAAAGCAATGCATTACACCTAATAGAACGTAGCACCCCATTGGATATGCTTGAATAGATCTGCATGAATACTTGAGAAGTCCTCAGTACCTGTAGAAATCACAGAAGTATGTGGTTTCCTTGACAACATCTCCAGCCTCAGAACCGAGGTTGTCTCGTATGACCTTCACCAATGCGTTCTCAAACCAGGTGCAGTCTTCCTGGTCAACAAACCTGTAACACGGACAACATGATCTACAGGTTGACACTGAAAAAAGGTAGCTCCGCAACCTATCAAAAAAGACCCCACCATTATATCTAATAGAACCCTAATATCTAAGACATTCCCCCCTATCTATCTGCCTGACGCCTGCTCCCACCCATACCTGGTAATGATGAACCCCATCCCTACCTGTCAGCAATGACTCTGCAGCATTCGTGCTTCCACAAGGCAAGCACGGTTGTCTTGCAGTTGACAACAGAGGGAGCTGCACTGAGCATGCCCTGCCAGATGCGCGACAAATCCCTCAGGTTGAATACGTAATGGAACTTAGAGGGCGTTGGCAGCATCGACACCTGCAGGAATATGTGCATGGTAGTAAGGAATGGCGTCAAAAACCATCACGTATTGCCAATAACAGATCATAGAGCTAGGAATGCCTGTGATATGAAACACGCAGGAAGGACAAATTAGATGTTTATGCTATTAAGGTTGAATCTAAACATTTATATTAAAAAAAATAAGCTCATGTGGTATTTTCAACAATTACCGACATAAGAACAACAACGAGACATTTTATTTATGCGCAGGAAAAACACATTACGTGCGGAGCAGGTGAACAATCGCAGTGTATCAACTGAATTTACTCAAGTTTATCACAACAAACAGAAAATATACTACGTGGATGATCTATCAGGCCATTACCTTTGTGACTTGCCACAGCATCCTGCTGCAGGTGACTAACGCAAGTATGGTGTCCCGGATAGAAGGACTGAAGCCACGCTCTGTGCAGTAATGCCCGCAAGCTATGACTCCTGCGACCAAACAAAAAGAATCCATCACCATAAAATTGCCCAGCACAAAAATGGGTATTATGTCATTTAAACTAAATTTCAAATGATAATTAATCGCCACGACACAAGAAGTAAATGAATACGTCCACGAATTCGAGAGAACGTTTGCTCTTTGACACGAATGGCTCTAAAATGGTGCTATAATTGGCACGAGATGTAAAGAATTCAGGAAATTTTACAGAGAAAAAGTGTGACTCCTACGTGCTTGACTGCTAGCAACGGACACAACTGATTACACTCATGGATACTGTACTGAATATCTTGTCGATGGATCGATCGGAAGGAATCGTGCAGTTGAAAATCGCCAGGTGGCGCTTCAGTCTGTTGGGAATGTCGTTGCGGCCGCCGCAGGGCTGACCCATGGCGGCAAGAAACTGCAGGTCAACGATGTTCGTAAATTCTCCCGGCTTGTCCAGATTGTAGAACCCCTGTAATAATGATGATTTTGAATTACCCGAGCACATGCATATTGATATATCCTATAATGAGAATGTGCACCTGCACTGTATGGTATGGACAGGGAACTCGTTTCTCTGATTCTTATGCATTCACACAGTTCGTGCATTATTATTATGGTTATTGTTTAGGATACACATAGAAAATGTAACTTCTTATCTTGTGATGTAACACGGCACAATGGCAGTCTGGAATGTGTGTGTATGTTTGCGTTCGTGCATATGTACTTCTGTGTGCGTGCGTGCATTCCTGTGCATGTGCATTCATGCCACACGTGCGGGCATTCGCGTGCGTGCGTTCGTGCGTGCGTGCATTCCTGTGCATGTGCATTCATGCCACACGTGCGGGCATTCGTGTGCGTGCGCGAGTGCGTGCGTGCGTGCGTTCCTGTGCATGTGCATTCATGCCACACGTGCGGGCATTCGCGTGCGTGCGCGAGTGCGTTCATTCGTGCGTGCGTGTGTGTGCGCGCATAGGTCGACCATTCAATCCGCTGCTCATCACCTTGTTCTCGACCAGCTGGCGTACGATCTCGTTCGTCACCTGATCGCCCCACTCGTTGATCAGTGGCATGTTGATGTCGTCGATAAACACGGTCATGCTCCTCCCGGCTGTGGGGCCGTACGTGCTGCCCATCCTCTTGTCGACGTAGCTCTCGATCGTACGCTGCGAATCAACACGACAGGCGGTCTCATCTCAGTCAATTTTAAGCCTTCCGCTTCAGAGGGGTACCGATACATTCGAGGTACGATCAAGACCCCCTATTTTATGCTTAACACAACCTGTGTCTGAAGCACTGAAGTGATACTCCCCCTTTGGACCCATCCGAGTTCTAAACAAGCAAAATAACATGAGCAGGCAACAATCTACTGCTGAATTCAAATCAGAGACACATAATATGGAGAGGTGTAAAAAGAACCGGTAACAATGGAAAAATGGATTCCACTGGCCCTGTAAATATTCTGAAATAAATACAGACTGACCTTTAAACTTTGACCCTAATCTTTAAAAAAAAGATTTAGCATTCCTTTTTTTTTGTTGAAGATGCCTGAGAGTTGATGGTTCAGAGAGCGAATGCACGCACTGCCTGTTAGGTGCATATATATATAACTACCTGGAACAACATCGGTGAAGAGGCTGAGGAAAAGTTCAGGGTCTTCGTCAGATGTTCATCCTTGTTGTACTTTGCCATGAAGGAATTGATCATCACGGTTTTTGCTGTTCCCTGCTCTCCCATCAGCAGAACGCTCTGCACAACATACGAATAAACGTACAATATCATAGATATTTGTGTTTCAAAGCAAGCTGGACATTTATCTGTTTGATTATGATTTACAGATCGCAGGTTTCCCTTAGATATGTCGATGTACTTATAAATTGTACAATATCAGGAGACATCGAGGGGGGCGCGGGGGGGGGGGGGGGGGGTGGGGCGGCGGGGGGGGGGGGGGGGTTGGAAAACCTGTGTATGTACCTTGCTATGCTGAGATACTGTGTTAAATATTGCACTATATAAGGCAATGACAAGGAAAAACCTGCGTATGTGCCTTGCTATGCAGAGATACTGTGTTAATTATTGCCACTATATAAGGCAATGACAAGGAAAAACCTGCGTATGTGCCTTGCTATGCAGAGATACTGTGTTAATTATTGCACTATATAAGGCAATGACAAGGAAAAACCTGCGTATGTACCTTGCTATGCTGAGATACTGTGTTAATTATTGCACTATATGAGGCAATGACAAGGAAAACCTGCGTATGTACCTTGCTATGCTGAGATACTGTGTTAATTATTGCACTATATGAGGCAATGACAAGGAAAAACCTGCGTATGCACCTTGCTATGCTGAGATACTGTGTTAATTATTATACTATATGATGCGATGTTGAGGGAAGAGAACCTGGCGTACGTACCTTCCCCTGCCTTCGCCACGGTCTGCAGGAAGGAAGTCGCATCTGACGTTGTCTATGCATGCACCAGCACGGAGCTGTACTCCGCGGTGTCACGTCCAGGCGGTAGATGTACTCCGGCACGCTTTCCGCCCCTCCAGTGCTGCCATCTACCTGAAGAGAAAATAAACACCATTTCTTTATCTGTGATAGTAGCAAGAGCATATAAAGAAGGAGAGCGTACAGCAGTAAAATGCTGAAAACCATGTTGCAGTATTAGTCGAATTAATAAACTTTTCCCGTTTTATTTTGACGATTCTTGCAGTATTATTGATCAGCTGTCCTATCTTGTTCATATAAACCACCGCATGTCCCTACAATGCCGCCTACGCTGAGATAATGAGCGGTGAAAATCTGGTATTTTCGCCGAACACCGACTAGCATTAGTCAGTGCTGCGACCCACTCTCGAAGTGTGGCCAGTGTGTTGCTTCCGTCGCCGCTGTTAGCGCGACTCGATACGTTATTACTACAGGCGTTACTACATCCAGCGCAAGGGGCGGGTCATCACCATGGCGATAAAAAAAACAAGACGTTTTTGTGGAGTAATGCGCTGCGTGTCAATGACTGGAAATTGCGAGAAAAGATAGTAGAGGAAAATAAATTTCATACTGTCAATGAATCAGGACGGCAAACCACGCCGAGGTTTCCCGAAGCTATCGCCAGAACGCGAGTCGGTCGCAGTACTGACTAATGTCTAGTCAGTACTACCAGATTTTCACCGCTCATTATCTCAGAGTAGGGGCATCGTAGGGACATGCGTTTGTTACCTCCGCCAACGGAGTTGGAGGAGGTTATGTGATCGGGTCTCATGCGTTCGTGTGTTCGTGTGTTTCGTGCAGCCAGCGCAGTGAAATCGTGTGTTTTTCGCGATCAATATTAGCGCGTCGAGTCAGCGAGCAGCAGCCCCAGCCGCATGTGAGCTGTACATGTGTACAATGTGTCGCTGCGGAGGTATGCACTCTCCGTGAGTGCCCTCTGTCTAGTTTTATATGAACAAGGCAGGACAGCTGATCAATAATACTGCCGCAAAGAATCGTCAAAATAAAACGGGGAAAGGTTTATTAATTCGACTAATACTGCAACATGGTTTCAGCATTTTTACCGTTGTACGCCCTCCTTTCTTTATTATGCTCTTGATAGTATGATAGTTAGATGGAAAGATTCTTTCTGTTTGAACTGGTTTTCATGGAAGCAGCCAAATATCAATAAATTCCAACTAATAGATATCTCTCGGTGTACTAACACTTTTTAACAGCTGTGCATGGTATTTACCTTGCGCATTGACTAGATAGTCAAACATCATATCGTCGGAACCAGGGGGCATGTCAGGGATGTCGAGGTTCAGGTTCCCAGAACGCAGGAATGCAGACAGTTTGCGTTTGTCGTCCAGCTCCAGAAAGGCCCCCACACTCCACATGATGCTGAACACGTACAGCTTGGCAAGATGGCCAACGGCAGGGCTGGCACGTGGGAGTAGACCCTCTAACAGTGTCAGAACCTGCGTTTAGCAGACACACAAGCAGAGAAAAATAGATTACTATTTCTAATACTAGCATGGCTCTAGCCTACTAAACTAACTTTCACCATCCATACCTGCAAAATGAATTTAAACAGGTAAATTAATTAATTAAGTCACTTCCAACCTAATAAGGTTCAATAATACACAATACCAATGCACTTCTACTGAAAACTTATTCCTTTATAAGCCAGGAATTTTTTCATCTGATGATATGTTAAATCTAACTTGGTACCATCTTGTCTCACTTTTCTTAGTCAGTTTAAGTAATCTATTCGCTGTAGCCTACCTGATTAACAATGTTACACTGCAGGACGGTCATCCTATACTGTAGATTCTGCATGGCATAGAGCAGAATCTCACTGAATGAAGCGTGAAATAATTCCCTTAGGCATTCCGCCTCCACAGCGTTCCTCCGCAGCAGCCATGCCTGTAGATGGCAGCACACGCACGCATATGCTTATAACCACTGATTATCTTCTCATAGAATGTAGTAACTGCTACAGTTCCCATTTAAAATACTTGCAGAGATTACACTATATGATCATTTAACACACTCGTGATGCTGGTATACCAGTGTTACTTAGTTTACTTCGATAAACTACAGAGCTAATGCATGGTATACCTCTTGTTCAGCACAGGTTATTTATTCAATTGGAAGAGCTTCTCCCGTATTAAGGTGATTTACCTATACTTGGGCATTGAACTTGTAATTAATTCGGTTTACCTGCAGAAGTGGTTTCCAGTCCAGAGCAGAGGAGCTCATATAGACCATGCCGTTTCGTGACACTGTTGCTGGGCTTGCATTGTCAATGTTGTCAACCTCAAAAATAATCTTACATGCTGGGGACATTGGGATTCTGTCACCTATAATTACACATATAATAACAATTGTAAAGACAATATTAATGATGATGACAATGATGATGACGATGATGATGATGCTGAAGAAGATGACGATGATGACACTAATGCATTACAAACATCCAGTACATAATCAGTTTGATCTGCGAATATGATGGTTACTGGAAGCTTATAACGATGCCAATTATCGAGAATAATTGGCAGTGATCAGCATGCAAGCATGATGGTGTAGGTTCTGGCTCTTATATCTAATACCATTCGCTAGTGTCAATGTCTTGTTGTCGTCCAGCACTGAGTTGAGGTTCTCAATCCAGATAGCATCAACAGGTCCATCCAGGACTATCCACACATGCTCATCTATCAACAGATTCATTTCCCAACTATGTATCCCACAGCCAACAATTATACACGAATCTACTATTTTTTGCCATTATATGTTTTCAATGAACACTGATGACAGCAGAACAGAGTACAGGAACATTTTGTTACATAATGATTTAATTAATACGTTGATAAATGAATAATCAAAAGCTGGAGGAGTTATATATATTAGACGAGGAAACTGTTCAATGCAGTGAACTGTCAGAAGTAGACAGTAGGCCTACACTACTGTACCGACAGAACGTCTTAATAAATGTACGCCTACAGTTAGATTCTTACGATCAACTGCCTTAAACTACAAACAGTGATACTACCTTTCTTTAGTTGGTGAGTTTTACGCCACAGTGCCGAGAAGATGCCGTCCGTCCAGTCATTAGTGGCCACGTCCAATCTGCCAAACATCTGTGGTGCAGTGATGGCTTTGGGGTTCATTCTCATTTCTCTGCAACATCAAAGTTTTTAGACTAACTAAAATTGGAGCATACACTGTGTACAATAGGAGACAAGGGGAGACTACCTTCAAAACGAAAGCACACATTGTATACATCAGGAGACAAGAGATATCAGATATATCTGGACTAACACGCAGGGCTTGTGTAGTCAGGGCCGTAGGTTGAGCAAATATGAGGCACTTTTGAGTACATGTACCACCTTCAATCTGACTACGACAATTCTCTTTTAGTAGAACTATTTTTTTTTTTTTTTTT